TGCTTCGGGCATTTGAGTTGTGTGGAACAACATGTGATTGTATACTGGATTGGAAATTTGGCTCGATTCAGCTTGTTCAGGTTCATGCAGTGTGATGATGTGGGATTCAGGTCATATGATGAATTTCAGACGTTGAGGTTTGGGTTCTATCCTAAGGTTATAGACTAAGGATGAGGTGAGAACATCAGTTAAGTTGCATTGTCAGTCCTACATAGGTTTGGGTGATGGGGAATTGCCCCGGGTGTATGTATGAGGAGCTTATGCAGTGGTTCGATGGCTTTGGAACGACTCCGGGCACGTTCGAGGACCAACGTATGTTTAAGTGGAGGAGGATGTAACGACCCGACTGGTCATTTTGAGCAATTTCGTCTGGTACGGCAGTTTGAGGTCACGAGTAGCTTCATATTATGTGTGTCGCCTTGCGTACGCAGTCCGGGCATGAAACCGGAAAGCTTTTATGTGAAAATATGAAAAAAATAGTAATTTTTAGAGTTAAAATTTTGTTTTTTAGTCGACTTTGGTCAACATTTTTGGTAAACGGACCCGGATCTGTGTTCTGACGATCCCTGGAGGTCCGCGGTAAAATATGGGACTTGGGCGTATGCCCGGAATTGAATTCCGAGGTCCCTAGCCTTAGAAAATAATTTTTGAAGAAAATTGTTGTGCTGGTTTTTAAAGGAAATAAAGAAATGAATTAATGTCTGAACTCGTTGGTATCGGGCCCGTATTTTGGTTCCAGAGCCCGGTACAAGTTTGTTATGATATTTAAGTCCTATTTGTAAAATTTGGTGAAAACCGGAATTGATTTGACGTGATTTGGACGTGCGGTTGAAAAGTTAGAAAATCATGAGTTTTGAGGTTAAATTCATAGTTTTTGATGTTATTTTGATGATTTGATTGCACGAGCAAGTCCGTATGAGGTTTTTAGACTTGCGTGCATGTTTGTTTTGGAGCCCTGAGAGCTTGGGTGTGTTTCAGATAGGTTTAGGCTATGTTGCGCTTGTTTTTGGATGCTTCATCGTCGTTTCTTCAAGCAAAAATAATACCACATTGAGAAAATGAGATCCAAATTCAGTTTTGTTTGAACCACTAGATCCGTATCAAAATTACGGAGCCATAGGAAAAAGAATCATCGAATTTGGACATCGTATGAGGATGATATGCTCATTTTCGTGTCAGGAAAAATTGTTGGTTCTGGTGTGGTCGCAAATGCGAACTTCTCGTCGCATTTACGATGACCAGTTCGCAAATGCGAGAATTTTGTCGCAAATGCGACTTCTGCCAGCCCTGCATTGCTCGTAATTGTGAGGGGTTCGCAAATGCGAACCCTGGGTCGCAAATGCGAACCCTGGGTCGCAAATGTGACATCTGAGGCCTGTTAGGTGAGGTTTTGACGAGATTTTCACCCATTTTTCAATTTTCTCAAACCCTAAACCTCCATGGGCGATTTTCCAAGGACCCAAACTTCTCCAAATCATTGGGTAAGTGTCTCTAATCAATTTCCAACTATATTTTGTGACTATATCTAAGATTTAACATCAAATTCATGAGAATCTAAAGGAAAATTAGGGGAAAAGAGTGAAATCTTTCAAAAATGTAAAATGATGATTTGCATGACCAAATGGTATCGGAATTAGATAATTTTTGTATGGGTGAACTCGTAGCGGAATGTGTGTTCGATTTTTGTAAATTTTGTCGGGTTCCGAGATGCGGGCCCGGGGAGTTGACTTTTGTTGACTTTTTGCAAATTGTATAAGAATCATAGTTTTGTCAATTGAAATTATTTTCTCTTGCATTGTTTGATGTATTCAAGTCGTTTTTGGCTAGATTGAGCCGAACGTTGATGAATTGGTAAAGGAAAAGCTAAATTGAGTATTGAATTGGCCGGATTGAGGTAAGTATCTTGCCTAACCTTGTGTGGGGGACTTCCCCTTAGGATTTGAGTCTTCTATGCTAATTGTAGTCCGTGCACGCGAGGTGACGAGTGTGTGCTCGGATTTATTTGTGGGAAATTTTCCTCTAGGGTTCTTAGGTCCTTATGTTCAGTATGTGCAAAATGTTCTGTCATGCTTGAGTTCCCTAATTACTTAAATTACCTCTATATGCTCTATATGATGTTGCTAGTTTCCCTCTAATTCTTACGTGTTACTTGGCCCCTAATTGCCTTAATTGTAGTGATTGCCTTCCTTATTGTTTTGATACTTCTTGATTGTGAGTTCCCCTATGACTTCGTGCAAATATGTTCCATGTCCATTTGTTGTGGTTACCGGTGTAATTATTACGTGCTTATTATGTCTTATTGCTTTGTTAAGGTTAGTGTGCTTCTTGGTTTTCTTTTCGTGATCCTTATTATATACTATCCATGCTTGACTTGATGAGTATCCATGTTGGACCAAGCTTATGGTAATTCCTTGGTATTTGACCGTTGTTGAGTATTGACTCAAGTTGGAATTCATTTTGTGAAGTTAATTGCTGGGACGAGATTGATTATTGTTGATACCCTTGCCGGGATGTATTGTTTATGATATTGTTTCCCTTGCCGGGATATTATTGCTTATGATATTATTTCCCTTGCCGGGATATTGTTATTATACTATTGTTCCCTTGCCGGGATTCTATTGTAATGTTATTGATCCCCTGCCCAAATTGCTTGTCATTGTTGCTTGGGTGAGGAAGAGTGTAAAGCACGAAGGGTGATGCCATGCACAATTTTTGTGAGAGAGTGTTAAAGAACGAAGGGTGATGCCGTGCATGATATTTGTGAGAGAGTGTTAATGCACGAAGGGTGATGTCGTGCCGCACGATGTACCATTCCGTGCCTTTATATGAGTGATAATGCACGAAGGATCATTCCGTGCCATGATTATGTGAGGTAAAAGCACGAAGGGTGATACCGTGCCGATTATATTGATTCTTATGGTGAGGACGAGAGTAAAAGCACGAAGGGTGATGCCGTGCACTTGTCCTTGATTTTCCTGATTCTTGCTGATAATTGAGTTGTGGTGCTCTTTACGTTTATTTCCTGATTTTCTGTTGTTACTTGATTCTATTGTGATGTTATAGATTCTCTTGCCCAAATTGCTTGTGATTGTTGCTTGGGTGACGAAGAGTGTAAAGCACGAAAGGTGGTGCCGTGCACGATTTTTGTGAGAGAGTGTTAAAGCACGAAGGGTGATGCCGTGCACTTTCTGTTTGCTATGCTTATTTGTTGTTACTAATTCAAGTGTTTTAACTGTTCAGATTCCTTTACTGCTGCGATCCTTTGTGATGGAACCCCATAGTGTTTTCCATACTTCACCATATTTATATGTATATTTCAATACTTCAAATTTCAATAATTGTTTCATTTTTAATTCAATTAGTTAGTTAATTAAATTCCCTTAAACCGTATTAGGTTGTATTATACTTTAAAAAAAAGAATTTCTACTAAGTTAATTTATTAAATCCCTTGTTAAAGGTAATAATTTATTCGATGTTGTATTTTAATTGAAAATGGTATTTTCTTTATTCAAATGATTTCTAAAAATAACTTCATCCTTTCTTGCTGAGTTCCTAATTGGTTTAGAAGTTGTACTTTATTTTATGTTATGTGAGTGAGACTCCGTGAATATCTCAATTGCATTTGTTATGGACCCTATGTACTGAGTAACATAAGAACTTTGTTGTGCAAAGGGAGATAGAAATGTGTGGGCGCAAGGTGCCGGGTGTGCTAAATGTTTGGTAATTGAGGTATGATATGAGACATCGAGTTTGAAGTGGCTGGAATTGTGCACCAGAAATGATATGATTTATTGAGCTGACATCGCCTTTCTTGTTTGAGTACATACTTACTTGTCTGCGTTTCCGGCTATGTTAGTGTTAGTTTATTTGGTTATCTTTCGTTTCCATCCGTGTTTCTCTTTATTGTTTCTACGGATTGTAGTTTATTCTTTCCCTGCTATTGATATTACTATGTCATTTCTAGGTTGATAGTTAATTATTTCAAATCTTGTTCAATTTATTTGACCAGTAGGTGTCTGGACTGTTCCTCGTCACTACCCCACCGAGGTTAGTCTTGATACTTACTGGGCACCGCCGTGGTGTGCTCATACTACACTTCTGTACATTTTTGTGTACAGATCCAGGTATTTGATCGGTAGTAGCTGTGCGGGTCGTTGCGGTGGAGACTCAAGGTAAACCTGCTACAGCGTTCGCAGGCCTCGGAGTCACCTTCATTTGTACTTATTTCCAATGATTCCTTCTCGTTCTGGAACAGTGTTGTATTTATTTTGTATAACTACTCTTAGAAAGGCTTATGACTTGTACCACCGGTTTTGGGAATTGTGATTTATTCATAGTTATTTAATTTGAAGTCAGTAAATGTTAATGTTATTTCAGTAAATGTTAGGCTTACCTAGTTTAGAGACTAGGTGCCATCACGACTCCTTCGGAGGGATTTTGGGTCGTGACAGTACTGTATCTTGTAAACGTGAAAAAATTAATATTTAGAAAAATAACTATAAAAAAATTATGGGCTATTATATAGTAAAGACATAACAAAAGTTAATAAATAAATACTTTCGAAAAGAAAGATTTATTTAAAATTTACTATCATAGCAGTCTTAGTGGATAACATGCAATAACTTTTATTTTAATTATGACATAAAATACTCTCAACTTAATGATTTATGATTAAGAAAAAATTAATTTTGAATAGACAACGATTTGGTAAGAAAATTTGAGGATTTACAAGTTTAGTTACATACAATTGCATAAAGTTCTATTAGGCGAGCCCAGTACCCTAGGCGTTGGGCGTATCCGGGGCGTAAGCCCCGGTGGCCGAGGCGTAAGTCTCACGGAACTAAGCCCCACACATAAGTTCAGAGGCGTTGTACGAGTGCTCCGTCCTGTGACGAGCCCCGAGCGAATCCCAATTCTGCCTTTTAAAACAGAGCTCTACATAACTGCATTCAATCTCTCTCTTCCTGGTAATTTCTTCTTCTTCCTCCTCTTTCTTTTTTATGAACATCTTTATGGCTAAATCGAAAGTTGTCTTTCAGCCCTCAAAACCAAACATGTCCTACTTTTTTACCCGTTTCAATGTTCTCTCTCAAATTCACTTCTTTCTCTCATATATCCAAGTTCCCATCACTGTATTCGGGAACATTGGATTCCATTCAAAGTTTATTCATTTGTGGATTAAGATTTTGTGAAGGTTGTTCGTTTCGTCTAATTTGTATCAAGTTTAGCTCTCAGTTTTGGTAAGCTTTTTCTCCAGTTAATCTTTTTTTACCTCACCTGTTTGAGGCTAGATTTTTGCTAGATTCTACATGTGTGCCAGTATTTTTATGTGATCTTCACATGCATGTCTAGAAATTGATACTCCAGTGCGTGATTTAGATCAATTGTTATCTAATGTCTCTTCTGATTATTATCTACTGGCATTTGCTTCCGAAACTTACTGACCAAAACACTCTAATCGCGTATCGTCAGTGTTCTCTTTTGGTACAAACTAATTACTGCAATGTTAATTTGTCATCGAAAAACTTGAAGTATCAAGATCTTTTTCTGACCATTGGTATGTGTCGAATTATGATATTTCGGTGACACCTCAAGCCTAGGTTTTTCCCTACAAGGATGAAAAGTCATTTTGCTTGAGTTAACCCTTGTTCTTGCTTTGGAAATGCACCTTACTAGCTCTACTATATCTTAAATTAATATAACTGATGCGTTGAGGGTGTTTGATAATATGCCTAAATCCTGAATTTTTGTACTTCTCTCTTTTGATAGGGCATATCCGGATTTATATATTCAGACATCCACTCACTTTTTACCTGCTCGGAGTACGCTTCTTAAACATATGGGGTTCAAGAATGGTATCTTGATGATATCCAATGAAGGACTAAAAAGGTAAATGATTATATAGAAAAACAAAACTAAGAAGAGAGCTCACTCAAGAGTGACATTTTTCCTCTTTCTGTTGTTCATGTTAATTGTGTGTAATTGTAGTGTTAGTGGCTGCCTTGATTTGCAGAGTAGTTTAAATATGACAGATTTTAGATGAGATTATAAAGTTTAAAGTAACTTGTTAATATAATTTTTTTTGCAGTTACATGTTCCCATTGCTTAGTAACTCAGTAATGACACATTAAAGTTTTTTGTTCTGCCTATTGAAGCTCCTTCAAAGGCTTTTGGTTGTAATTTGGTTATTGTTGAAGCTGGTGTTGGTGGTTGTGATGTTGCACTTTGTGTCGTCAAGAAAGTAAACCACTCTTTCGTAATCATGTGGTTGAATATAGGTGCTCGTCAACTACTGTTATTTGCGTAGTTAGACTGCTGAATCGACAAAAAAGCTAGCACCTATAGAGGAACTCCATAATAAGCGATAAGACGGACAATTTGTGCTGATACTTTTTGCTCTTTCTTCTTGTTAATTCTGCTTACTTCATGTTGTTCTTGAATGAGTAGGTATTCTTGAGAGGAGATTGTTATAGTTAGTAATTACACAAAACTAGGTATTTTCCTTAGAATTTGGTATTCTCTTTACTGTTATCTGCTAACTGCCTATTCACTTGATTAGAACAATAAATCTTATTACACATATTAACTCATTTACTTCCCCAGAGAGCAAAGCCTAAAAGTGATATTGTTTACTAACTGATATAAAATGAGATGTAAAGTTAACCTTTTATTTTGTTTCAGAGTTCCCTGCATAGAGATTAAGAAGAAAATGATGTTAAAATTCCAAGTCCCCCTTCAGGCGCCTTAGAGTTGTGCTTTTGCCCTGGTTTTTCCCCATTGCTTCAGTCCGACAACCTTATTGTCGCTGCTATATCCCGTGCTTTTGGCTTTTCGTGTCCGTCTCCTAGGTGCTAACATGTTATAGTTTTTTCCCAATTAGCATTTGGATTTGGGGTCATTCTCTGTTTACATTCTGCCATGTCTCAACTGTTTGATTAAGGACCTCAATTTCTGCCGATGTTGACTATCCATGTGGTCTATTTGAAAGGAGTTACTGATATTGTACCATAATGTCACCTATAAATATGGAATATATTGAAGAAATATCTTGCTGGGTGGCAGCCCAACCTGCTGTCACAAAGGGAAAGTGAGGTCTCAATTGTTGGCTGGTGAGTCCTTATGATCTCTTTGACTCTACTTTTTGTACCATTAGCCTGTTCGATTAATGTTATTCTTGAATTACCTTGATAATTTTCTGTTCATGAGCTATCTTGGTAAGAAAATTTTGTTATTAGCCTATCTGTTGAGGTACCCTGGTGAAAATTCTTGGTAACTAAGCAAACTTTCAAAGATTTTGGGCTTTGCTTGTTTATGGGTGTTTGGTTAAATTTTGACTTTTTGGGCGTCGAGCCATCGAGTGGTTACCTTGGGAGGCCCAAGGTGAAATTCTTGTTGAATACAACCTTTCAAGGTGTTCTTGAATTCTGCCTATGTAATTAGTCATGATTGGGGGCTCGATTCGTCCTGTATTTGAAGCTTCATGTCTTAGTCAAGTACAACCTTATAAGTTGAGAATGAATTACATGTTGTCGTGGTCTCTGACTTAGGAGATGATACTCTCTGATTTTCTTTGTTTTCCACTTTTTGGTTTCTGAAACTTCTGTGTATTTGCTCTTCTTTAAAATTATTTTTTATTTAAAGTGGTAATTTTGAAACAAAAAACCAAAAAACTTTAAAACGAAAGCTTAAAAAAGAAGCAATCGGAACAAAATACAGAGGAAGAAACAGAAAGTGGATGTTATTTTGTGGACAAGTAATTCTCCTTCAAATTTGAATATAGTCAATTTAATTTGATTTAATATAAGTATACTTGTAGTACAACGATATTAAATTAAAAACGATGTATATTTTTTAGATGATCATTCTTTTCTGTGTAACAGTTGATTACTACAACTGATCATGGGATTGATGGGCCTCCAAAAGAGAAGTAGTGGCGTACTTTTTTGTTGGTTATTTTATTGGGTGCGGCCCTTCGTCGAGCCCTGCGTGAACGCGTGATGCTTTGTGCACCATGCTACTCCTTTCTCAATAACTCTGATATGTGATTTTATGTCTGAGGCGCGAATCTTGAGATTAATATCATAGATTTTTCTAGGCTGATATGGTTGTCACTTTCTTTTTTTACTTTCAAGATTATGCGACCTTTGTCTTGTTTGTAAAAATATCTGCAGGTAAAATAAGCTCCTGGTGCAACTTTGTCATAAAAATGGGATTTTAAGATTATAAAAAATTGAACAAGTTGGAAACTAATTTACATAGGAGGGGTGATAAACCTTGCCTCCCTAAGATTCATATGAAAATAAAAAAGTACAGTGAGTTCCTATGGAAATTACCTTAGTACAGATGCAGTCACAAATATCTGCGATTATGGTGCATGGTTGTCAAGATTTTCGGAAGTCTTTCTATAGTTCATTACTTCAAAGACTATCCTGAAGCATACTTGTTTAGTAAATGGTGTTAAAAGGAATGACATAAAATTGCATGATTTTTATTGTGAAGTAGGTTAGGGGAATTACTGATGCAACTACTTATTTAATGTAAAATTCCAATTGCCAATTGTTTTTTCTGATGCATCCTACTTGTGTTCTCTTTGAGTATTTTCTGGTGGTGTTGTTTTCTTGTTACCTCTTCCTGCTGTAGTTACTCGAAAACATCTCAGGTTCACTATAGTTGTTGCATCAATTTCTCTTTATGTACTGCTGAAATCATCTTCTTCTATCCCCTTGTGCGTTAGGTGGCAGTGTGCTCTGCAATTCTGTAACTTTTGGGAATTCTACATTTGATACATTTGAATTAGTAATCGGCTGGTATTTGATGGTTCGCTTAATTGAAATATTCTTTCTTCTTCAGTGTTGCTTAAGTTTTCTCATTGCAGGTTCTCTAATAACAAATGTTTGTCTAACAAACTAACCTTCAAAAGGGATGCATCTTTCTTTTGTCTGGTATGGAAGAATGTACCAGGGAAACATGCTATCGAATGTACTTTATTGCAAGTACATCTATCATAATCTTTTTGTACCAGGGAAACATGCTGTCGAATGTACTTTATTGCAAGTGCATCTATCATAATCTTTTTGTTATTTTGTACAAACTTTGTTCCTAGATAGATAATGTACTTACGGGCAACAAATCAAAGAAATTTTAGAGGAACAATTTGGTATTGGAGAATGAACAAAGGAAAAAATTAACGAAGAATTGAAAGGAAACACAGAGTTAAGAAGCAAACGAACTGCCACTCACCAAAAGAGAAGAGAAATGAGAGGGGAACTAAAAGCAGAGAATGTTGGGGATGTTCCTTTCAAATTGGAGAGAAGAAACGATATGAGTAAATGAACACGGGGAAAGCTAAAAGAAGAGTATTACCATTTTGCCTATACAGATCTTTGCAGTGTTGAGTACATATCTTTGCAATCTTACTGAACTATTGATACAAGTACATGTCTTTGCAGTGTTGAGTCTTTTTGGTACTTTTCGGGCTATACAGATACAAACATAATGTTGCCGGGCATATGCACGGGCACCACCCATCTAGCTCCAATAATAAGTTGGAGGTAAATGCCAGTCCATGATTATTAGAAAGACTCATTAGCAATTCAACAAAATTTAAAAAATTAAGCTCATTGCTTAAATCCCGAATGGAGATATTATACCCGTGATTAAGTGGCCAATGGGCTACCTAGTAGTTAATATAAGCGAAAGCATGTAGATAAACCCGTTTCATGTCTAACATCGGTCTTTCTGTCCAATCTGTATATGCAATTCAAAGTAAGATAATACATAAAGAGCCTACATAAATTTATTCACATATGCAAATCAAAGTCAAGTGACACATTAGATGTACGAATATATCATTTGAGCCAACTTGAACGTCATAATTTCATATTTTAGCTAAATGCATTGCATAAAAGTATTTCTTTAACAAAGTATCACAAATGAATTTTCACGGGAAAGCAGAAAATTAAAGTTCAATAAATTTTCATGGCGAAACAGAAAATTACTACCTAATAATTCAACCTGAAACCCAACCTCCTGTTGGGAAGTTAAAATAAAAAAGCTACCATTTTACATGTGATGCCCATGATAGAGGGCGGACCGATGACGGCTGTAAGGCCCCGTAAAAATTTTTGCGCAAAAACCCGAAATCTCGTAGTGCCAAGTTAGGAGTATGTGTTAGAAATTTTGTTCGGACCTTTTGGATTGATCTGTGCATTAAAAAGTTAAGGGATAATGTTTTTCCAGAAAAGTGCGTTTCTGCGGTCCATTATGCGGTCGCATAATAGCTATGCGGACCGCATAGTCGCCGCATAGTCAGACAGTGTGCTAGTTAGTTTTGAAGCCAACTATGCGGCCAATTACGCGATTGCATAATCAATATGCGGGCCGCATAGTCATCGCATAATCTCCTTGGAATTTTGCGAGGGGTAGTTCTGCGGTGCATTATGCCACCGCAGAACAGGTATGCAGACCACATTCTTGTCGCATACCCGGGCAGTTTGTTCAGGTTTTGGGGGCCATTTTTGGCGGTCCCTTCTGCGGACCGCATGTCCATTATGCAATCGCATATGCGATCGCAGATTGTGTCGGGGCTTTTAAAATCCGACCCCATCCCATTAAAAATACCCTATTAGACCCCTTTTATGCAATTTTCTACTGCATTTAGAGTGAGAGCAAGGGTTCTAGAGAGAGAGAGTGATCCCCACCAAGCTTCTACTCAATTCTTGCCCCAAATCCTTGAAGATTGTCAAGTGAAATTACTAGGTCTTCATCCTAAGAGGTAAGAACTTGTGCCCTAATCTATGATTCTGAAATTTCTATTAAAATAAGTGATTAACAAGTGGGTTCATGAGTATAAGGGTTGATTATCTTGCATGCATAAATGGTAACAGGGTATGGGGAGATTGTGAGTTAAAAAGATAGCAATTGTGGTGTAAGATGATAGAAATCTCCCACAAAAAGGGGTCCTAAAATCACAATGCACACTTAGTGCTTGATAACATATTCAAATTAGCTAGAATCTTAATCATGTCCCTAATTCAAGATTCAATTTGTAATCCTCATGAAATAGATCGAAGTTGCTAGGAAATTCCGGAATTATTGTAAGAATTTAAGGAAAGCTCTGTTGAGGTATGTATGACAAAAACCCCCTCTTCTTAGAAATTGAGCTTCCATGGTGTCCGTGCAAATGTTGTAAGTCCGAAATTTGATTGATGTAGTACTTGTTATATCAAATGATTTGGTGTTGTGAGAATATATGTGGAAGGTGCGTCTCCATGTGTTTAATGTGCTCTTCTTTGTAAAATTGTGGATGTGTGAAGAACATGAACTATGTGCCAAAATGCCTAAATTGCAATTCAAGGTTACATTGCGATTGTTATGCCGAACTAGTTGAATTTCTCTTTATGCTTACAACTTGAATTGCTCTTGTATGTGCCTATGATCTCAAATGGCAAGGTTAATGTTGAAAATGGGAATAATGTGAAACGTGAGTTTTGGAATGTGGCCTAGTGCCAAGTATCGATGTGGTAATTGTGGCCCCAAGTGCCGATGAACTAATGTATGTGAAACAAAAAAAATAAATTAAATGAGATAATTAAAGGAAAAAGGGGTAACGTCTTGGTAAGACGGCCTAGCCGATCGGGCCGTGATCGGACGCCATGCTACACACATGGTGGTATTGTGTGGATGATTGAGACCGGAAAGTGAAAATGAGATAGTGATTGAGGTGTATGTCTCAAATGAGTCAGCTTAGCCGATCGGGCCGTGATCGGACTCCGTGCAAGAAAGCGATGGTATTGTGAATGATGATGCAACAATATGGAATGCCCCAAACTAAAGTTACGAAAATTATGTGAAAGCTATTGTGGACCTTTTATTTGATAACGTGGTGATAGTTGAAGCTTTGTAGTCCCCATGATTTCTTTACTCTTGTATGGTTGTTCTTTCTAACAAGATGGTGTTTAGTTATACATATTAGTACTATTGCATGGTACTAACGTCCCTTTTGCCTGGGGCGCTATATTTTTGAATGAATATAGGTGGTTCTATAGCGGACAGTGCCTACCGCAGCTAGCGGAGTATCCTCCTCTTAGAAGTCTTGGTAAGCCCCTTTCCTTTAGGGGTTATGTTGTACACCTTTGGTTATAAAATTTCCACTTTTTTAGTATAGTCGGGGCCTTGTTGCTGGCATTATCATAACTGTCTTTTGTATCCTTAGAGGCCCCGTAGACGTTTGTGTGGGTTATGTTCAGGTATTGGATGGGTCACTAGACTGTTGTAATTCTAATCTTTTGTTTCCCCTAAACTGTAACTGCATGATGTTTTGGGAATATAACTATGGTTTGAGGATGGTAACATAAAATTAACTAGTAATGTTTCATGTGCGATCTTTCCTACCGTCTAATTTAAATGAAAGCATGGTTTCTTGATCATAGTGAGTTGGGTAGAAGGTGTCAAAAAGGCTTGCTTAGTTGTGTTCACTCGATTGAGCGCCGGTCGCGCCTCCCGAGGTTGGGGCGTGACAAACTTGGTATCAGAGCCTAAGGTTTTAAAATGTCCTAGGATGTCTCAGAGCCGTGTCTAGTAGTGTCCTTCTTATCGGTGTGTAGTCGACCATATCTATAAGTTGGAGGCTACTTGGGCATTTAGGAATAACACCCTTCTTTGATATTATGGATCGTGCGGCAATTGTGAAACTATTCCTCCTCTAACTAGTGCATTCCTTCAAGTTTCAGTACATGGCACCTAAGAAGAAAGCCAGGACTAGCCATGGAGTCAATGCTGCCCCAGGAGCGGCAGTCGACTCTGTAATTGATGATGCGGGTGAGAACCTGAGGGGTGAGGACTTTGCCCCGACTGCTACACCAGTTCCTACATTTGCTGAGGGTGCTACTATCCCTCCCATTGATATTCCTGTTCCGCCTCCAGCCCCAGCTTCCGGTCTTGGTAATTCTGATGGGGATCTTAGGGGAGCTATTCATATGTTGACTTAACTAGTGGCCTCTCAGGCCCAGAGGTCAAATGTTACACCCAGTTCATCTAGCTAGCAAGGGGATTCCACCAGTTCCAGGGTGAAGAGATTTCTTCAGTTAGACCCTCCAGTGTTTATGGGTGCAAATCCAGAAGAGGACCCCAGGATTTTATTGATGAAATGCACAAGACCCTCAGGGTTATGCGTGCGACTGAGACAGAGGGAGTAGAGTTGGCTGCCTATTGTCTGAAAGGGGTGGCCTATTCGTGGTTTGAGTTGTGGGAAGATTTGTTGATACCCAATTTTTCCCTATGTATTTTTCGTACCCAAAATACTTCTAAAATAGCATATTTGTGCATATATAAGCACCCCCATGAGTTTTGATATTTTTGATGATTTTTTAAAACCAATTTATTGCCTATTTTTATACCATAAAATCCAATAATTATTCCCAAAATTTGCCATTTTGGTGAACGATTTATTTTATTCTCATATTTACATCAAAACATAGCTAACATGATTTTTGCATATTTTTACAAATTCATTTGGTATTTTTAAAACTAAATTGCATATAATTGCAATACTAGTCTCTTTTAAA